ATAAATAAATAAAAAAGAAATTTCAGAAAATAAATAAGAAATAATAAATAAATAAATAAGTAAATAAGTGTGTGAGGAGGTGGGGAGAAATGGGTTATCTGATTTTTTTTTAAATTTTGGCAGCATTTCGTTACCCCCATGGGGTCGAAGTGTGCCGAAAAGACTAAGTAAGAGAAAATCAGAAAATTTCGGCAACACTTCGTTACCCCCACGGGGTCAAAACGTGTGTCGAAAGCAAGAAAAGGCTAACACCTAATCAGATTTAGGATTGCCGCCAAAAATTTTCAGAATAAGTAAAAATAAATAAAATAAATTAAAAAAAATAAGAAAAGAGGGTGGGGAAGAAAATGAGAAAACTAACAACTAATCTCCAAGGGCACAAGGTACACCAAGACCAGGAGGGTCTTGGTCTTTGCTGCAGCAGCCAGTTGAAGGAGAGAGGGGGCTGAGATCTTGATCAGCCCCCAGCAGCACTTCTGCAGATGTGTAGATGTAGGGTCTGTTGTGTGAGAAGGCCCTCTCTACTGTAGAGCAGCCCCCTAAGCAGGGGGGTCTTCAGCCACGTGGCCGTGAACGCACGCGCATGGCTCAGCAAGTGCCTGGGTTCAAACCCCAACAGCAGCAGTTGCATCCCGGATTTTAATAATATAAATCCGGGAGCGGAGCGGGGCGGGGTGGGGCAGCGGGGCAGCGTCGGTGTGTGGCGCGCGCGATCGTGCAACTGCCTTGGCCCGCCGCGTCGTGATGCGGCTTCCTTTTTTGCCACGTGGAGCTCCTCTGCTGCAGCACCTTTTTTTCGTTGTTTTTCCCGTTTTTGCACGTTTTTTTGCCCGAAAACGCCCCAAAAATAGTCGAAAACCCGACTGTCGGGTTTTGCCGTATTTCGCTGCTGTGCGGTGTGGTGGGTGGGGGCGGGGACCGTTCCCGCTCCGATACCAATGTAGCGGACCCACCAGGTGTGGTGCTCCGCTAGTGACAGAGATGGAGATGGAGGGAAGGGGGAGCAAGATGGCACAACGCAGCTCCCCACGCAAGACTCCAACGCACGTACTCCAAAATGT